CAACAACCAAAGGGCGTGGGGATGGGAGTGGGGAGAGGTGGGTAGGGGGGTGTGAGGGGGAACGTCGGGGGGGGGGGGGGGGGGGGTTGGGCGTTGCTGGTTGTTTGGGGGTGGTGACGCGCCGAAGCAAGTGGTTCTCCACTGGCGCAAGTTCACGCATTCACTTTACTTTATTCGTTTCTTTGTAATGTAATGTTGTGTGTTCGCTTCGCTCTCTCTTAATAACAATAGTAATAATGGTGTGAACGAAGAGAACACCGCCAAAAGACCTTAATATGGCGTACTGCTCCCCTTAACCTCCCCCCTCACCGGACCTTAAAGCCTTGTCAACCCTTCCATGCTCGCAAGGTGGCTCAGCCACGCCAGTTGGTGCAGACTCGTCGTCAGCGCCGTGTGGCCGGCGTGTTTTTTGGGAGTGTGCCTGATTCCGTGCCCGAAACCATCCGAAGCTGGGCAAGCCCTGGAGCCCTGAAACCACTTCTCCGCCTCCCGACCCATGCTGGCAGGGCGATCGGCTGAGACGTGTGACTGTGTCAGCAACACAGGCGCGGCGAAATTGGGCACGAAACCCCAACACCATGATGTCCGGAAGCCCAAGGCCATGGCCTAAACCCTGCTTTAGGACCTCAGACATGGACCCCGACTTTGAGGGTTCAGGATTTGGGTTGGCTCTGTAGGGTTTAGGATGTGAGGCTCGACGAAGAGAAGTTTCCATGGCGCTCAACCCATCTTAACCCGAAAAACTACGAAAGCCTAAGCCCAATCAACCTCACGAAAACACAGTTGTCGAACTTGTCACGAACCTTGGAGATGAGCATCTTCGCTTTCTCAACACTGGCCTTTGAAATCGAATGAAATCGAGTGGGAACCTTCAGTTCTTTCCTTGAAAGTCCCCGTCTTGTTGAAGAGTAACAGTTCTCGGCAGCTCACGTAATGGACTTTTGGGTTGCGCCTTGTACTCCTCTCAGGTGAGCGCGCTGTCCTCTGGAACGAGGTTGCTAGAGCGTGCCCAGGCTTGGACCCTACAACTTGGGGGTTAAGGGGTTCAAGCAGGGCCTTATTGTGGGGCTTCGGAGAGCCTTTGGGAGTTTGGGAAGGGCATATAGGTGGTATATACGGGGTCCCGTTTTACGGGCTCATAAATCACCATCGGCCATGCGATCACACAGCAAGTCGGTCAGCTTCAACACTTTCTGCTGGAATGTCTGGCAGAGTTCCACGCGGTTTCATCGCAAGGCCTTTGGGATTCTCAACAATCATGGTAGTACAAACTGCAAGTAGTAGCAATGACCATGATAGGGGTAGGGTAACACGCAGATTAACGGACATGGCGCTCAGGATAGTGACGATGGACACAATCCCTAAACAATAAACCCTAAACCTGCTGCACGGGCTCCCACCCCCCCACCCCCCCCCACCCCGCCCCACCCCCCCCCACCCCTCCCCCCACCCCCCAGCCCCCCCACCCCCACCCCCCCCACCCCCAGCTCAAAAATGGCTCGTGCAAGGACAACACCCCCACAAGCCCCTCTGTGTGTGCCCTAAGCCATCCTTGGAGTGGGATGGCTCGGAAGTGCGAGAAGAGGGAGGAGGGAGGGGAGAGTAGGGTTCCAAGGTTCTGAACAAGTGCTTAGAGCTTTCGTTCGCCGCTCGATGTGCTTTTGCTGGGGAGGTTTGAAGGTTCATTGCTTGAAGGTTTGCGGTTCTTTGGCATGAGTGCTCAGCATCTGCGGGTCGAGTCTTTTAACGTGCAGGATCTTGTTAGTTGGTGAACTTCCTTCTCCAGTTGGGGTTGCTCTAGTTAGTCTGGTTGCGGGGTCAGAATCCCAGCAATGGCCACTTGCAGGTTTTGGGTTTGGGCTGAGAAGGTGGAGGGAAAACCGGAGCTTGTGTTTAGGGTCCCTTGGGCTTAGGGTAGGATATATGAGGAATGTGAGGTTTTTTGTCCGCCAGTTATTTCAAGATTTAGTATCCCGGTGCCCAGACCATCAACAGCATTTGCTAGCCTCAAAGCACAGAGCCGTCCCTTGGACTGTCGATCCAAATCCCCGAAGGGCTGAATGCCGCGTACCCCAATGCTGCCGTGCAAGACTTTTAGCACCCGAACGTGTAGGCAGCAGTGTAGCAACGCTAGACAGACGTCGCCCGTAGGTGACTTGGATGACGTGCCGTCTTCAGACGCGTGTGCTCTCGACAGTGCCAAAAAGCCCAAAGCGCTTGCAGATGACGTTGCTGCCTGAGATACCTGAAGAAGTTCATAAAAGTGGGCTTGCTTCCTCAAGTGGAGCTATTACCCCTTTGACTCATCGCAAGAACTCATTAACATGTGTTTCCAAATCTGCCGCTTGGGAAGAGATCTCCTCTCCCCAATGCGTGCGCCGTATCTTCACGGCTAGGCTTTGCGGTTGCCTGCCCCGATTCCTGGGAGGTTTTGTTTGCTTGCCTTTTGGCGAGCAGTTTTTTTTTCTCCAGAAGAAGTTTGTTTTCAGAGATAGGTTCACGGCGCAAAATTTGTCTGCGATGTTCTGGTTCCTTCCTGACAAGTTCAGCATTTCACAGTTGCCTTGGAGCTTTGCGCCGTGTGCTTGTGCACGCAGGCAGCCTGACGGCTGAATTTGTCGTATCTCGTTCGTTTCAGCAGCATGAACAGCCTTACATCAGGGGAGCTCCTGGTCCACAGAATCATGCAGTGCTGAATCACCTGAAGATACATGTCGGTGTTTACGCTCTCTTGCTGGCTGTCAGTGCAGAAGCAGTTTGTAAACAGCCATAGTGAAATTGACGTACATGTCATTGCTTGTTGCACTTCAAGAAGCGAAGTCTGTGTCTCCACGGCGAGCCATGTTGCCAGCTGATGCAGTCCAGACGTTGTCTGTGTGGAGGATTCAGGCAAGTGGTCCTTGACATGTGAGTTTTGCAAGATCCGGCAACGTTGCCATCAGAATCCTGAGCAATCTGAAGACCTGGAACACCACTCCTTCAACGTTAAAGCCAAGGGCCCGCTCACGGTTCACATGTGGTGATGTTGCGGCGCAACGAACACGACAACAGTTGCAAGAAGAAGAAAATGAAGAGTAATAATATGAGAACAGGACGAGAAGAAGAACATGCGGATGTAAAATACGATACGGTTTCGTACAAGAGTGCACGCAAGACTCGTGCCAAGCCGGGGACTGGGTGCATACATGTACGTACCGCATTTGCAAGTTGGTTTCTTCCCAGCAGACACGTTGCCGTAGCTGCCATAGTCCATAGCTGAAGGAGTCCTAGGACACGTGCAGAAGCTTTGCCAAAACTTTTAAAGCGCGATGAGCATCTTTCGCTTGGTGTTCTTGTTCACTTGGCCAGCACCTGTCCTCAAACCTGAATTCCGAACCAAGTCAATTCCAATCTCATGTAGGATTGGAACCCTGAAACCCACAAAGCACTTCAGCACTCTGAGCTCCTGTGTGGAGGTGGCGGTGCCTGCTTTGTGCTCCCCATACACCTGCGGCCCGAGGCCATTTCTTGAAAAGCGAAGGGCCCTAAGCCCTAAACCCCAAACCCTAAACCCTAAACCATACATGTAGTTGTCCTTTTCGACCTTAAGGTCGTTGACGACGACGCCGACCACCACCACCACGACCACCACCACAACCACCACCACAACCACCGCCATGACCATCACCACCACCACCGCCACCACCACCGCCACCACCACCACCATCACCACCACCATCACCACCACCATCACCACCACTACTAGCACCACCACTACTAGCACCACAGTACTAGCACCAGCACCAGCACCACCAGCAGCACCACATGACCACGACCACATGACCACCACCAGCACCACCACCGCCACCAGCACCAGCACCAGCACCAGCACCAGCACCAGCACCAGCACCAGCACCAGCACCAGCACCAGCACCAGCACCAGCACCAGCACCAGCACCAGCACCAGTGGGATGTTCCACCTTATACTAAGAATCCTTAGTAGGGATGAGAATAGGGGGTACTATCATCCCTACTAAGGTTGGTAGGTATAAGGGGGAACTTCCGTTATGAAAGCCAATGAACGCATTTGAGGAGTGAAAAAGAAGACTGTGCTGGTGATGCCGTTTATGCTTGAGGGGCAACGTGCCTGATGCCAATGCTATGCCGACCAGTGCTCCTGCAGCAGCTCCAGCTCGAAACTCGCAAAGCCATGCATGGAGCATCTTTGGGATTTAGGGTTTTAGGGTTTAGGGTTGAGGGTTTTAGGGTTTCGGGTTTTAGGGTCAAGACGCAAGGCATCTGAGGTCTCAGTCGCGCTCAAATGCAAGGGGCTTGCTATGAAGGGTCGGCAGCTTCGCCGCTGGCCCGGGTGCGGCAGTGGACTTTGTGCTCGTGCATGCTTGGGCTGCACCGACTATTTGCTTAAGAACCCGGCCCCCCCCCCCCCCCAAAAAAAAAAAGAAAGAAAAAAATCATAATTATCAAGGGCAATATAGGGATTATTATTTAGTATATCTCTTGGGGTTCTGAATAAGCAAACAGTAGACACTTGCCCAGTTCGCACTCCTCAGATTCACATGGCTCACCGTGCTTCAACTTAAATCATGTTGCCCAGGTCGCCCTCGCTCCAGCTGCGAGGTCTTTTCACAGCCTCGGAGGAGGCAAAACTCACAACATTCCCCATATGAAGCAGGGTTTATACTACTGTTCTTGGTGAGTGTATATAAGGTTCCTTTTGGGGGTACAAGAAATATATACCTACTTCATATCCCATGCTTGTGCCTTTAGGTACGGTTCTGTCAGCAGTGGACCATTGGTTCTGAATTGCAAGGGTGCTTCTGCATCATCTGCTCAGGCAGATGGCTCAGAGGAACCGACGGGCTCAGACGAGCAGGAGGAGGAACAGGAGGCTATATCCCCCTTTTGTTTGTATAAAACCCAAGAGGATATCAAAATTAGTATTTTTATTAAGGTTCTAAGGGGGCGCTATCAGTTGCCTTTGACTTGGCTCCGCGGTTGAGATGTTGAGTTCAACAGAGTTGCTGGAGGATGACGGTGAGCGCAGCATTCTGCCAGAGGACGGAAGGGCAGTGGTGTGATCGACACAGTCTCATCCCACGAAATCTCAGTGTCGGGAGAGGCTTTGCCCAACATCACAAGCTGCTTCTTACACAGGGTTTTAGCCATGCTTGCATGCGTTTACACAGGTCGCGCTGACCTTCTGTTGCAGGCTGTGAGGAAGCACCGAGCCCGTGAGTGGGCCCATGAGGATAGCTGGGACGTGTCTGGGCCAGAGCCTTAGCCTAGGAAGCGTCCAATAAACCCTAAACCCTAAACCCTAAACCCTAAACCCTAAACCCTAAACCCTAAACCCTAAACCCTAAACCCTAAACCCTAAATCCTAAACCCGCCCGCCACCCCACTCTCTTGTCTTTTGGGGTAGGCGGGCGCTGGTCGAGCGCTCAGTGAGACCCTGCGAGGGAGCCCTAGGCGGGCGACCGAGCTGGCCTCCAGGCTGGCTTACCCTCCAGGCAGGCACAGGCCGAGTCAGCAGTTGTCACTGTATTATATTATATTACCCTAAACCCCAAGCTGTCCGCGCACATGGTCCTCGGCCCCTTGAGACCCCTGGTCCCTCACCCCCGTCCGCTGGGCTGAGGGGACCAGTAGCCCTTCTTGGCCTGGACCCTGCACCCTGCACCCTGCACTCTGGCCCTGACCCCTGCCCTGGCCCTGGCCCTGGCCCTGGCCCTGGCCCTGGTTCTGGCCCTTGGCCCTGTCTGGTCTGGCCCTGTCCCACCCTGCTGTCTGGCCCTGTTTGGGCCTGTTTGGCCCTGGCCCTGGTCCTGGCCCTGGCCTTGGCCCTGGCCCTGACCCTGGCTCTGGGCCTGGCTGATCCTGACCCTGACCCTGACCCGACTAGTTTTGCGTCCTGGCCCTGGCTCTGGCCCTCTGGCCTGTTCGAGTCATCTTACCCCCTTGCGCCAAGCCAAGCTGTCCGCGCACCAGTTTGTGTCCTGTTTCGGGGCGCTCTCCCTCTGGCTTTAGCCCCGTCGCGCCAACCCAATCTGTCCTGCCTAGCTGCGCCTAGCTTCCGTTTGCTGCAACTTTGTGCCTGGTCCTGACCCTGGCCCGGCACCCCACCTTACCCCCTTCGCGCCAAGCCAAGCTATCCGCCACACCAGCCCTGTTTCCATGGCGCTCTGCCCAACCCAAGCTGTTCACTGTGCGTTCTTCCTGGCTGGAGCCCCTTCGCGCCAACCAAGCCTCGCTGCCTTTCTCTGTTCCTGGCCCATCCCTTAGCCCCTTCGCGCCAACCCAAGCTGTCTTCACGGACCCTGCCTCGTTTCCGTCTGCTGCAGCTTTGCGCCTGGTCCACGCACCTTGTGGAAATCCCCAAAAAGGGCGTGAGTGCTGACTCATGTGATGCTTTGTAAAAAAAGTAAAAGGTCTTAACTCCTTGAGAGTTGTAAGTGGGCGGTCTTGGGGTGGGTAGGTCTGCAGACTACCGCGCGCTCCCAAAGCGCGCTCCCGTTTGGCACGCCCTAAACCCTAAACCCTAAACCCCAAACCCGATAAACCCTAAACCCTATAAACCCTAAACCCTATAAACCCTAAACCCTATAAGTATCTCTCCAACTTCGCAGCAGATGTTTGCTTCAGCCACAGGTTCGATGCGGAGATTCCGGATCCTGCCCTTCGATTCCCGTTCGAGCTGGATCCGCGGCTCTCCCGTTTTTGGGGTTTAGGGTTTAGGGTTTCGGGTTTAGGGTTTAGGGTTTAGGGGTGGTTCTTCCCGTCACGTCAATGCCTACTGGAAGCGAGCCAGTTGCCAGGTTTCAGAAGCGCGCCGTCCGCAGGGTGGAGAGGAGTGAGACCTGGCCTCAGGTCCACACCCCTCCGTTAAACGCAGACTCTGAGAGAGAGGGGCGCCGGCTCCTTTCCGGAATCTTCCTGCGCTTGATGTTTCGTGCAAGGCATGTCATGGTTGCAGCGCACACCTCTGCCGGTAAGACAGCCCGGGCCCTAAAAGCGGGTTGAGTTGCCTGTCGGGGTTTAGAGTTCCTTGCGGCCTTCCTTGCCAGGTCGTGGCGGAGTATGCGGTGGCCCATGCGTTGCAGTTGGGAATGCGAGCCATCTACACATCCCCGATCAAGGCCCTGATCTGCTCTTTTGCGGCTCCTTGCGTTCCTGTTCTTTGAGTTCAGGGTCTAGGATTTAGGGTTTAGGGTTTCCCACCCCCCCCCCCCTGCCCCCAAATCTTTGCCCTATTGTGAGGCCTTGTCCAACCAGAAGTTTCAGGAGTCCGCCAGCCCAGCTCTTCCGTTTTCATCGCACTGGGATCTGTCGGAGAAGCCTCGAAAGGTTCACCCGTCGTTTCGAGGGCTTGTGCTCGGGCTCGGTGGGCATTGCCGGCGGCCCAAGTTTGAAATTCACATAGCCATACATGCGCCACGGAGTACTTTGGCGTTTTTTTTTTTTTGCTGAGTGCTTTTGAGGTCACGGGGGACGTGGCGGTGAACCCGGAGGCTGGTTTCCATGAAGCTGAGGGGGCTTCAAATGCTTTCTCAGCTTATCTGGCCTGTCAGAGGCCAGCTGTGTCATCATGACCACGGAGATTCTCCGTGCGGGGGCTCAAGGGGCTCTTATTGGGGCTTTTTTTGAGTGCCAGCAGACCTCTTGCGCAAGATCCCATGTCCCACACTGCGAGGATCGATGCTCTATCGTGGTGACAAGGGGCTCAACCAGGCGAGACTTGTTTGTGTTTTGTGCCTAGACTTCTGAGGCTGTGAGGCTCGGTGCGGTCTTCATACGTCTTCTGAAGGTTTGGAATCTCTGGGGAATGCTTCGGGGGCTTTGAGGGTCTGTGAGTCCAGATGACCTGAAGGGACAACGTGCAGCGGAAACAATCCTTCAACTGCCCTGACGGCTGTCGACAGGTGAAGTGGGTCATCTTTGATGAGGCAGCTTTCCCCCTTTTCAAGTGCCTGCTCACGGGACGTAACTTTGCTATGATGTTGTCAGAGGCGCTTCATTTAAGCAATACTTGAGAGCGTTCATTGTGCTGAATCAGATCATAGTGCTCTGTGCACATACAAGAAACGAACCACACTGACATGCCATGAACGGTCCACTCGTGTCGCCATTTGCATCCCAGTGAGCCATGATGAGAAGCCATGAGGCTCAAGTCTACATTTCCGGCATGCTCTGCAACATTTTGTTTCTCAAAGCAATTTTCACATTGGTGGCTTGCACCGTGCCATTGTCTCCGTGTTAGTGTTGGTAGTAAGCAACCGCGAGTTCGTTTCGACCTGCAAGAGTTGCAGCTCGATCCTGGTATCCTTCTTAGGGCAGTGGCCGGCTCGACAGACGTAGATATGAAGCGTGGCAAGCGTCACAACGGTGCAGGGAAATCGGAAACAAAGCAAGAATCATAGTTCCGCAACCAACCCTCGAGCCCAGACCGTCAGCATCTGGATCAGGTGGGTGAGTTCTGACCTGTTTTTAAATGTCTAGATGGGGTCCAGCAGCTCATCCGCTCGTCATGGACATGGGTGACGCGGCGCATTCATCAGAGTTGCTGCGGGCGACATTGGGGGGTGTGGACCCGAGAATTTCAGTAGCGGGGCTTTGGGAGGTATGTTGAAGGTTGTTGATGTGACACGTGGTGGCAGTTTACGAAAATAGGCGTGCCCTTTTTGGGGGTTCCTGTAGTAAGGATTCTAGTATTTTGGGGGGAAATTCGGGGTACCCCTATTTTGGAAAACCCCCCTGGTCTTTCCGTAAAGGATCTTGGCTCCGATCCACGCTTCCATAAAAACCACTTTACCCTCCCTTGGTTTCCGCTCTCCATCATGGGGACCAGTGCCCGGCTGCTTCTTTTTCTGAACGTCTCGCGCAGCCTGGCAGCAGATGTTTGCGGGGCTCGCAGCACTTCTCTGATGCAACTGGATCGAGTGAATGGAGGGAATCGAGGCGTATGTAAGCACGTGGTGGGCTTTACTTGTGGCACAGAGGGGGCCGCCCGGAAGGATGTTCAGAGTTCGGACTTGGAAGTGTCGCCGCTGACTTGCCCCTTGTGTCCCAAACACAGCTCTGCCCCGATCTTGTATGGAATCGAAAGAACGGATGGGCTCGGTCAACGAATTTATCAGATCCTGATCTACATGGCGACAGCAGCATATCACAACATGACCTTCGGTGGCTTTGTTTTCAACACATCCTTTGATGGAGGCCACGGCATGGGTTCGCCTGCCCTGATGAGCGCGTTGTCCGCATATGTTGGGAGCAACTACTCCAAGCTGCGGCTCGCCGCCAAGCACCCCCACTTCGACGCTTGCTGGAACTGCCGCGGGGAGCCCGACGACCAGTTGCCCGTGGTGCAGGCAGGCCAGTCGGTTCTCGGCTGGTTGGGCTGCGACCCAATGGAATGGGCAACGGGATTCCTTGGCTCACTGAGCAGCTCGTTTCTTCAGCAGCTCCGGGGCTCGACGCAGCTCCTGCGCCATCCGGTGCGGCATTTTCCCTCCACGGGTGGGCTTCGCGTTGTGGTGCATCTCCGGCGCGGGGACGTAATGAACACCACCAAGGAGGGGAGGCTGAACCGCTTTGTTCCCGACTCGTTCTATCTCAAGTTCTTGCGCCTCCTCAAGCCCGTCGTTGCACCCGCGAAGATTCACGTATTCTCAGCAAAGGAAGGCATTTTTTCCGATGCAGATTTCGATGGCTACCGGCAGCTGGGAGCGCAGGTTCACCTGGACGGCGGAGCGGTGGAAGATTGGGCGCACATGGCGCAGGCCGACGTCTTGGTGGTCGCCCCCAGCAGTTACTCGGCAGTGGCTGGCATCCTGAACACTAAGTGTGTGCTGGCGTTCGCCTCGCATCCTTTTGAATACCATCCGAGATGGATTCAACTGGACGACGACTTCGGCAATCTGGGCGAGCTTCGTGCGTGCCTTCTCAAGCTGTAGATGCGAAAGGGCATGCCCGGCTGTGACTTGCTTCTCGCCCACAGGAAAGAAGCAGGACTGGTAGCAGCCGGTAGTGGCAAGGGTGATTAAGACACCAGAATACATGATTCAGTCCCTTTTTGTGCTACAAAGTTGTGCTACAAGGTTGTGCTACAGAGTAGAGTGCCGGCATCCAGCAATTGTGCATGCTGCGTAAGCTGCACGAAGCTTCTGTCAGCCTCCATGTATTCTAACCCCACTCCAGCCCTCGAAACCCTGAACACTTTCTGCCGACACAAGAGTGTTGCGTGTGTCGGCCGCCCGTAGCTGAAAGCCGCGCAGTTGAGGCTTGTTGAGGCCTGGGATCACCTGGTTTACGAAGGGCTCCACACATGAAACTTTGTACACGGCAAGAGCAATCCAAAAGAAGACAGAGATGTACATATATACGTATACATAGACATGTACATATACCTATACATATGCATATGCATATACAGATATATGTATACATACAAATAGTAGTCCTTGGATGTTACGGTATTATGTCGAGTGTACACGTTGCATCCAAGCCGTCCTTGCTTGAGGTGGGATGCTGCCGCTGCTGCCGATGGAGCTTGTAGCTCAGGCCAAGTTTTCCACCTGAAGAAGCAGCTGTCTTAGCTCTACCGTTCTAGACCCTAGGGTTTAGGGTTAAGGATTTAGGGTTTAGGGTTAAGGGTTTACCGCCTAAACCCCTACACCCTAACCACAAAACCCAAATGCCTAAGCCCCAACCCCCACACACCCTAAACCCAACACGCAATGTCAACATTCCTCGGAGTCACCAAGTCACCGTATGATGACCCAGCGCGACATGTCGACACATCAGAATGTCTCAGAAGTAGATGAGGCTTGCGCATCGGTGCTTCGGGGAAGTTTTTGCCGGCCCACCCCAAGCAGTGTAGCAGCGAGTTGGAGAAAAGTTGTGGCTGGAGCAACACTGTCGCTCAGAATATAGGCTTCTGCACGATTTTGCATCTACAGCTTTATTGCACTTGAGATCTGCACATCTCTGTGCCGTCTGGCTCGAGATCGGTGCAATACTTTCCTGCCAGAAACTGAGAGGAGCCGCTCAGCACCTGCTCTCACTGCCACTACGATGGGTGTGAGCAGTCATCTTGTTAAACCCTCAACCCTCAACCCTCAACCCTAAACCATCCTAAACCCTAAACCCTAAACCCTAAACCCTGAACCCTAAACCCTAAACCCTAAATAAACTCTAAACCCTAACCCCTAAAAACGAGCTTCTGCAAGGGCATGCTGGGTTTGCATGAAGGAGTTTCCCCATGTTCAAGAAGCGGGAGAGGCCCAAGGTGCGCTTCCCAGTGGGCATCCAGGGTACCTGCATTGGAGGTTCATGGTACTTATTGACCAGTTATAACTGTACTTATAGGGTTTAGGGTTTAGGGTTTAGGGTTTAGGGTTTAGGGTTTAGAGTAACTGTACTTATTCCCCACAGCACATACTGTTGGGTTTCAGTCTCTAAGCCTGGATCAAACTCTTTGCGGCCGGCCAAAACGGGAGGAAGACGGACAATTCCGGAAATGATGGAATATGAATGACGGAAACTTTCGGAAATGATGGGATGTGAAGGACGGGAAAACCCGGAAATGGTGGAATATGAAAGACGGAACTTTCGGGAAATGAGGGAACGTAAAAGACGGAAAATTCGGAAATGGTGGATTATGGAAGACGGAAATTTCCGGAACTGCCCGGACATGAAGGACCGCAAAAACCGGAAATGGTACAACTGTCCCATACATGTGCGCAACCGTGAAACAAGCGACAATCCGTTGCTCAACAACAGGTCAACGTTGTAACCTTACGTCAGTACCCCTGATGCCTTGTTACGATTGGCGCCTCAGCAATACACCAACATTAGGTTCTCAACATGCAAACGTGTAAGTTGTGTAAAGATGCCATCGTAAACCCTTGAAGCACAGTTTGTGTTGACGCGCTTCTCCACGTCTTGCCGCCAGCACTTCCGAAGCATTGTTGGACTCATCGCGCAAATGCACAAGTGACGCTGCGCTGCACGCTGCTACATCAGCAAATGGGTCAATGTTGCATGTGCTTTAACGAATTGCGAAAGTGATGTTTGCGTCGTCTTGAGATTGAAATCTTCCGGATTTGGACGCACCAAATGTTTTTGCAAGTTGGGTGCATGAGTCGCACTTGAAATTCATTCAATGCAGCACGCAAGCGGTGAAGCCTCGACGTTCTGGAGCCCGTTTTCACAAGGCCCAAACCCAAAAGCAATGCAGTACCAAAAAGGTCAAGCCTCGATGTCCCAAACCAATCGACATAACACCCAAAACCCAGAGCAGTGCAGCACCAAAGGGGTTCAGCCTCGATGTCCCAAACCAGTCGACAGAACACCCAAAACCCAGAGCAACGCAGCACCAAGGGGGTCAAGCTTCGATGTCCCAAACAAGTCGACATAACACCCAAAACCCCGAGCAATGCAGCACGACAGGGGTCAAGCCTCGACCAGCCTTCACAACGCCCAAACCCCCAGAGCAATGCAGCACCAACGGGGTCAAGCCTTGACGTCCCAAACCAGTCTTCACAACGCCCAAACCCCCAGAGCAATGCAGCACCAAAGGGGTCAAGCCTCGATGTCCCAAACCAGTCTTCATAACGCCCAAACAGAGCAATGCAGCACCAAAGGGGTCAAGCCTCGATGTCCCAAACCACCCAAAACCCAGAGCAATGCAGCACCATAGGGGTCAAGCCTCGGTGTCCCAAACCATGCTTCACAACGCCCAAGCCCCCAGAGCAATGCAGCACCAAAGGGGTCAAGCCTCGGTGTCCCAAACCATGCTTCACAACGCCCAAGCCCCCAGAGCAATGCAGCACCAAAGGGGTCAAGCCTCGATGTCCCAAACCAGTCGACAGAACACCCAAAACCCAAAGCAATGCAGTACCAAAGGGGTCAAGCTTCAATGTCCCAAACCAGTCTTCATAACGCC